GGTGATTGACCATAACCATAGGCAGGTGATGAAGGTATATTCATTCATGAGTAAGGGAAGTTGACGATAGAAAAGTTTAAGTCATCACGTTTATCATTTAGCTTTTTTGTTAGATTACCATGAACTTTTTTTTCAACTAAATCATCTATGTACGATACAGATATGTCAGACTCTGTGGTATCTTTTATCGCTCGCTCTCCAGGATATATCTTAACGACGTAGGAATGGAAATTACAATTGTTAATTGACAATTTGTCGTCGTTATTTTAAAATGTCGAGTTAAAGCCCACAGCAAGTGTTTTCTTCTAATCACTCAAAAACCTTTGCTTCATATCAATACATAAATACATGTAGGTCTGCTAATAACGGAGCACAGTTGGTACCCATCGGTATTCTAATAGATCGTTGGAAGACCTGGTCTCCAAAAACCACATAGATATTGTCAATCGGGACCTCAAGAATCAAGAAAACTAATTCGTTATAACTAAATAATATAATTAACTCGTTATAACTAAATAATTAATTCGTTATAAGAGAAACACCGAGTCGGACATCTTACGAACGAACGTAACCAAAAACGGGGATCAGTCATTATAGTTCAATTTTATCGGGATTTCGGTAGATCAAATCCCCACAAGATACGTTAAAGCCACTTCTTGTCGTAGTCTCTACCGTTACGCTACAATACGTTTTCATGGATATTTGAAAGAGCAAAGGGGTTCTAGAAGTGAAATGAAAAGAAAATTTAAAAAATGTCTTTCTGTGGCATGAAATAAAATATAAATATAAATATAATAATATGTGGGGATCTTTTCACGGAAGGGGTCGAAGGGGAGGGGGACTTTTCGAAGGGCGGTAAGGGCAATAAGGAGGTCTGGTCTTATTAAATCAAATTGCAAAAACCCAATAAGAAATTCTTGTTCAAAATATTATAAGCTGCGAAAAATAGATATGGTTAAAATACACAGGTATTGAAGTCATATCATAAATCCAGGGGGATGCCTGTACGTAATTTGTCTGTTGGTAAAGCTTCTTCTTACAAACATGTATCTTCAAAATTTTCATATAATTCTCATGGTGCTTGTGAACAGGACCCCACCCCGCCCACCCTGAAAATCCCAGACCCATATATATATAATTTTTAATTTCAGTGTAAAAGCTCAAAGACTTCTCGAGATATTGCTTGAAACGAAGGTGTAACAGACGGACAGAATTACAAAAAAAGACGGGCAGACCGAAATTAACATTCTCAACTTTCAGGGGTGGGGGCAAAAATGGAAGTTTAGTGAATTTAGTGTTCTTGACATATTTTAAGATATAAGATTTTGAAAGCAAGTTCCATATAAGCATGCTATTACAGAACGTACCCCCCTTTTCCCCAACCCCTCGAATATATATAAATCCGGGTCCAAAGATTTTTTTGCTTTTCTGTGATTAATATCATTTACAATTTACAACATACAAAATTCATGCTCCCTGTTAAAAAGTTAGAGATAATTTAAGATGCTACCGGCATGATCTTTTAATAAAAAGTGAATTCTATGTACTTTCTGGATTCTGGATCTAGTTAATATGTACTAGACGGTTAATTTATGAAAGAAGACAAATATTAATATCTCTGTGGTTGGCAGTGGGGAGGCTGGCTGGTCTACAAGCACTTGTGATAAGCATATGTGTGCACATACATTTGAAGAATGCCATGATAACTAAGTGAATTAATTAGATGACAACTAAATAATTTCAAGTAATTCACAATTTTAAAATCCAGTATTTTTTTGTCAAAATTCTCGATTCAATCTTTTTTTGTTAACAATTGCTCTGGCCTTCAACTCGACCTTCAGATATATCGATGGCATATTGTGAATTAACAATAGTGATTTTTATTCCTATGTCGATAGGATATATCCAGAAGAGCGTGAGATATAAGATATCACAGAGTCTGACACATCTGTTTCATACTTAGATATTTTACTTGAAAAAGACGTCAATGGTAACCTAACAAGTTATATGATAAATGTGACGACTTAAACTTTTCTACCTTCAATATCCCTTACCTATACAGCAATATATCTTCATCACCTGCATATGGCGTTTATATATCTCAGTTGATTTGATATGTATGAACAATTTCGAGATAACTAATTCCTTATAACGAGAAACTTATTCATGATGACGAGATAATTATAATAATTTTGTTTTAATAACGAGATGAGTAACTTGTTATAACGAGATAACTACCGCGGTCTTCGTTATGACGAGATATAACTATTTCGTAAAAGGGAGAAATCTATTTATAACGCGATAACTTTCTCGTTATAACGAGTTAAATACATTTTTATGTTTGAGAAGACTCCTACCTTAACTTTATCTCATGTGTCACATGATTAGTGCAAATTTAAACTCTACTACTGTAACAACGGTTGCTTTGTATACTTATGTGACTTATTGAAATTTTATTGACCTCAAGAGAAATAGATATAAAAGTAAATCCTTTATGGATCTTTATAGTTGAGCTTCAAAAATACTAATAAAATACTTTTATATATATATATATTTTTTTTTTTAATGCATTATTATAACCAAATTTGGTAGAAGTCCTTCAGATCAACAAGAGGTTGGAATAACTTTTAAAAAAAGTATTAAAACTTCTTTTATACAATGGTGTATTTTGAATGAAATACGGGGAGATAACAAGCAGTATTCGAGCTCAAAAGGTCATAAAACATTTGAAAATAGAAGCCAAAAGGGCACGACGTACCTCAACAACACAATTTCTCAAATTTATAATTGCAAAAATTAAGTCAAGGCGAAATTCACAATTGAGTTATGTTATACTCCATTAAATATTTATTGTCATACCTAAACTGGCGTTAAAACAAAATAAACATTATACATTCTTATTGAGGATTGTTACTGCATTTCATACGATAAACTGTTCTACATTCTACATTGTTTCCTTGAAAAGAAGACCAGTTGTTACGGGTTAAAAAAAAAGGATCAACTCGAATGGCGCGTCATGGAGCAGTGATAAGATCATTATCAACGAAGAATGATACATTTATGCCAATACTTTAAAAAAGAAAAAGGAGTTCTCGTAATCAGAAGACAATTAATTTTTTTTATTACAATGTACTATACAATTTTTGAAATGTTTAGTATTCGCGCACTACCGTCTATTACTTTTTTCGTTATCCCGACTTTTCTTTGCATAACAAGACTTTATGCTAAAACAATTTACAATTTAATAACCTTTTAAAAGTAAACGATGATAATTAGTACTTCCTATGAGCCAGTTAATTAATTATTCTTCAGATAATACGTACTTTCATTTGTACCTTTATTGTCCTACTTTCGAAAGTTTAACCTTAAATTTTAGGGAAAGGTAGTAAAAGTGCTGCCATACTGACTTTGTTCCATGATGTCTTATCAGTAATCATAGTCCAAGGATAATGTATATAACGTTTCTTACTTTGTATTTAGTCGTCAACAGGACAAATACAAAGGTGAGTACTGCAACTTGTCAGATTGCCTTCGTTATGCTTTGTTTGAGATAAAAGATACCACAGAATCTGAAACATTTGTTTCATATTTGGATATTTTACTTGAAAAAGGCATTAATGGAAATCTACCAACCAAGCTCAGTGATAAGCGTGATGACTTTAACTTTTCCATCGTCAACTTCCCTTAATAGTGCAGCAAAATACCGTCATAACCTGCATATGGAGTTTATATATCTGATTATCTCTGTTGATTCAATATACAAGAGTATGCTCTAAGCTCTAATATTTTCAGCAGCAGCTATTCATCATGTGAATATGATTGGTGATGTGACCTGAACATTATTTTGAAATTTTAGATTCATCTGTATGGTAGGGGGTGGGCGATTCAAATGGGGTCAAACAAAGACGGTGTATTCTAAGAAAGGTGGTTTTTTCAATTCCTCTTATATTTTGCGCAAGAGTCCATTCTTTCTATGGAATATTGTTGGACGTTTCCTGTAAATATGCAATTCGATTTTGGAATTTCTATGTACATTCTTAGAGGGAGATTTATGTAAGAAATCAACGTTTTTTTTTACAAAAACCTTGTTCCCTGAACCCCTAGCTCTTACAATTTTTGCAGTAGCAAAACCATCTTAATTTTGGGATGTGATTGGTGACTACCATTTAACATGCACTTATTTTTTTTAATTTTACATTTTCGTTTTCATGATTAAACGAGGGTAAAAAAAATAATTATATGATATTTTATGGAGATAACATACGGTATTTAAGATCAAAAGTCCATAAAACAATCCAAAATAGAAGCAGAGCAAACAGGGACCTCCAAATCATCAGAGGTGGGATCAGGTGCCATGGAGGAGGGAGCAACCCCTGCTTAGAGCTTTTTTATATATATATTTTCTGTTATACATCGTAAAAAAGTGACTCGCATAATATTCATGTAATTTTTTCATTTCTTTTTCAAACCTATTTAAATATAATGAAAAAATTATATATTTTTTCAAGCGAATGCATTTTTATGGTGTTCACATTTTCTAAAAGAACATTCATGAACACTTCTTTGTACGCTATTTATGCAATATGCCCTTCCTGTAAAATTCGTAGGAATTTAAGGCGAATTTTATATACAATTTATAAAATCATTGAATATGGCACTCAATCTTTGAGCAATTTCACAGGACAGATATCTAACTAATAAAATTTTTTAGAATATTTCCCGCAATCCTAATAATGACAAAACACACTTACCGATAGTAACTAGTATTGAGCTTCATCATAGTGATATATAATCATTATCCATGTAAAATGTGTAGTAAATTCCTACTGACTGAATATCACATGCAGTTCTATATATCAGTATAGTGCAACTCGGTAAGTATGGTGAAGTTCCATATGCAGAGATTTTTCCAATATTGAATTATACGTTTCGACCCCTAATGCATGTAACTTCTCAAGTCGAGTGTTTCTGAAAATCAAATTGTGTTTTCCTACAGGTAACAATATGTCCTCAACGTGGATAGGCGTCTTACTTCTGGTAGCCACGGTCGGTAAGTAACTCAGATTCTCCGTATGATATCCTTACCTGATATCCTCAAGCATAGCCATGTCCTTATATCTATCTTAGAATCAACTGTATTTTTCTAACAAAGTTAAACATGGATGCAGAGCAATAAAAATTACAGTCACTGTTTAACATATATCCAATACAGGACCTTATAAGCTCACAGACTTTGTTATTTTAGTGGTTCAGGGCCAGGATCCTGGTAGTGTTCAGACACCTACAGCTTTCACAAAAGGTCAAACAACAAATCTTCACTTAACAAAGGGGGAAATCATCGATTTTGACAAGAGAATAACAGAAGTGGGAGCTACCTTTGGCATCAATTCAACATTTATTTGCCAGACACCGGGACTCTATGCTTTCACTTATTATGGCTTGACTGAACAGGACTGGGAGCTCTGGGTTGAAATGTATAAAAATGACGAACTGATTGCTTCAAGTAAGATTTAAAAAATATATATATATACATTTCTTTTCATTTATTTTTAATTACACTTTTTATCTAAAATATAAATTGTTTTTCTTGTTTTATGAAATAAACAAGAAGCAACAATTTCTTACATACAGTATAAAGATGATAAAGATAAATGTCTGTTAAAGTTAAAATGCTTATTTCATAAGAAATTTTTCGTTCTTTCCAGTTTATGGTTACACATACGCTGATTATGCGGATGCTGGAAATGCCGCTATTGTTCACTTAGATGCTGGTGACAAAGTCTACTTAAAGGCCCATGATGACTACGACCAGACTCTGTATGGACAAGGAAATGAAGTTTACACAACGTTTACTGGAGAGCTTCTGTATGCTGATAATGTTGGTAAATACGGTGAAAAAAATCTAGTTATTTGAGAATATAGCAGAATGGACTAAGGTTTACTTGAATACAGAATTTTAAGAAATTGTTTCAACAGTATTACAGACGCACTGGTCACCATATATAGTAACATGCAAACAATTTAACATTGTTAAATGAAATTACTTTAAATTTGACCCTTTATATAGAAAATGATAACAACTCTATTTTTACTTTACTGGGTATTTTGTGTATTTTTAGAGCTGGACGCTGTTAACGCCTATGGTGCTGTTGGATTTTCTGGAGTTATGACGATGAACGCCTCTATCAGTGACGGATCTGCCGTCATTTACGACAAGGTCATCACTAACCTTGGTAATGGGTATGACGCCACTACTGGGACGTTCACAGCGCCTGTTGAGGGGACCTACGTGTTCCACTTCCATGCTTTGTCCCATTCCGATGAGGTATGCAATGTGTGATATTACCCTGATAAAAAGTAATATAGTTTAATATAATTTACAATATCATTGTTAAATAAAGTTAACAAAAGGAAATGAAAGTTTTCACTATAGTAAATGAAATTATATTAACTATGCATTTCAAATTTGTACATTTTGTTTTGAAAAATTCGTATAAGCAGTTTTTCTGGCATAGGGGCCATAAAACTTAGACAAGCTCACTTTTATCTCAGTCTCATTTTTCCACTATATACATTGTATTACTTTCATAAAAGTGCGACTAAGATCACAAATGAGCTTGACTAAGTTTAATGGCCTGATGTCAAAATATATTTCTTGTATAGGAAGATATTTTGTCAAAAAAAATCTCATTTATATGCAATTTAAGAGATAGTTCGGCTTCAAATCTTCAAAAAGGTTCTAGAGTAAAGTTAAATTGCAAATCAAAGTGTCAAAGTTAGATCCATAGTTAACTATAGTTAATTTTTGTTAGGGGTATGTTGCAACCACTATTGAAATAACGACCACTATTGAAATAATTATATCAATAGTGGTTGAGAGTGCATTTCAATAGCAAACATAGTTAGTAACCACTATTGAAATACAACCACTATTGAAAAAATTATATCAATAGTTATTGAGAGTGTATTTCAATAACAAACATAAGTAATAATCACTATTGAAATACGACCACTATTGAAATAATTATATCAATTGTGGTGGAGAGTGCATTTCAATAACAAACATAGATATTAACCACTATTGAAAGATGACCACAATATTTATTCGGTCTTCATTATTGTGACTAAGCGGGGAAGAATATGTGTATGTGTGTATGTAGTGGCCATATTGAAACAATAGAATTCAGCAACAATGTCGTTCTATATTTCATTTGTGCCTCTTGGACGTTAGATCCGTGAAAAAAAATCGTAAAATTGAAAGCTTTATTAAAATGAAAATTAGATATATTTCTTTCAACTCGATGCTAATAATGAGATTATCAAAAGTGTTCGGTGTGTAATCGTGTGTGTGTCTTAGCGCCAATCTTGAGAGTGAATATTAATAACGTTCTTTTAAAACATTTAATAGGAGGCTTGGCTTGAACTGTTCCACAATAGCCAATACGTGGTAGCATCTTATGGATACACTGTGGGGTCTTATGCCGATGCGGGTAATTCTGTTCTTCTTCACCTCAAAAAAGGCGACACAGTCAAAGTGAAGGCCAGGCCTGGTACTGATGTCAAGCTTTATGGAGACTCAGATGAATATTACACCACGTTTAGCGGCGCGCTTTTGTCACCAACTCTTCACGGAAGCGGTAATAAAAAGTCCCTGTAAATAAAAAAATCTAATATTTGATACAAATTCATTGTCAAGCATATAAACACACATAAAGGTACATATTTAGTATTTTCTATGCTTGTCTGATGATTTGTGTACAGATTTAGATATAGAATGACAAAGGCTAACTTATTTCTTTTTACAATGAGAATATTCTTCTCTCAGTTTTGTCATGAAATATCTTCTTATACAATAAAGGTCATAACAGTCAGCAAGAAATAGCCTTCTCCGTTGGTCTGACACATAATGAGGCTTCAACAAATGGTCCAAAAGTGGTTTTCGACAGAGTTTACGTCAACCTCGGACAGGCTCTGAACGTCAACACCGGCGTCTTCACTGCCCCCGTTAGTGGTATTTACGCCTTCCACTACCATGTATTGGCCCAACAAGGAAAGGAAGCCTGGGTAGAGCTTTACCATAACTATAAGTACATCAACTCCCTCTATGGACACACTTCCGGAAGTTACGGACCGGGAGGTAACTCTGCCACTCTTGAGCTGGTTGCCGGGGACACCGTCTTCCTTGATATTCAGCATCACGACTCCTTTCTTTACGGAGGTGGAGATGAAGTTTACAGCACATTTTCTGGTTATCTCTTAGCGCCAACTGCCAGTCATCATCCAGTTGTTGGTTAGACACACTTTTTGTTAAAATAACAATGAAAAATTGCTTTGTTATATTTTACACTGTGATATGTTGACCTAATTCACGAATAAAAACTGCATAAAGTGTTATTTTCGCCTCGTGTCATTTTCGCCCTTTTTCACTTGCAATCAATTTGTCCCATATTAAATTCTTCCAGCCATAGTTCTGTTAAATGACTTGTGCTGTGTTCTTTGATTTCGCTCCGTTTTCATTCGCCCAATCATGAAGAGGTCAAAAGGGGCAAAAATAAAACGGGGCGAGAATTTCCCGGTATTACAGTATATATCATTGTCTCTACTTATTAATATACATAAAAACTTTTCATTTATCGCTTATTTCCTTGTTCAGTTCTTTTTAGAATTAATGAGATCAAGTTTTAATAAAATGGTCGTGATTTAATTCCTGTTGATTTGATTAGTCACAGCATGATACACATGCATATGTACGATTTCTAAAAAAGGACAGACACTGGCCTAGAAATTAATGAAACAAGAACAATAACAATATTCGTTTTAGTCGAAATCATACATTCTTTGGTCCAGACAATGTCCTTGTTCGCAAAAGCAATATATCGTTACATGTATGTCTAGTGTTGATATGTGCCTTTATACATGTTTGGAGAGGCCATTTTTTCAACACTTTAAAGTCTTGGTTTCCTTGTTTAAAATTGACTCGATATTGATCAATGGGGCACGGCAGGTGAGGATGGGCTACATGGGATGATCCCTCCTACTTTTTACCTGAACCATCTTCTGTTTTAAGAATATGTGTTTTCTCTCTGCTCACAATTTTAGCACCGTGAGGATTAGTTGTTAAATTCACATTAAATGTTTTAGCTCTCCAAGAGCAATGGGTTGAAAAGCAAAATAGTGCACAAATGTAAGATCCACGATAAAGAAGAATTATATATTTCAAGTAGTTGTGCGACGGTAGGAACATGCATATATAGAATACTTTTTAATGCCTTTATAATTAAACAACATAGGGCATATTGGATTTTGTGAACCTTGAATACCTTCTGGTACTTCCAGTTACAATCAATGTTAAGGAAATTCTTAAAGTTAACAAAGAATTTATTAACACCTCTGCAAAATGTAACCCTTCACCAACTAGGAAGCTTGTGATATCTTAAAGCTAAATTTGCCGACATTATACCGGTAGTACAATTTTTCAAATGTAAATACGTTCTTTGTATCCAATTTTTGATATTTTCTTCTTGAAAGATTCTGATTATTACTTCTGGGTTTAAAATACCATGTCTTAGTAGGTCATGTCTGCTCAGTAAAATGAAAAGGTTTTAAATGACATGACCAACAGTTTCATGCTCACTAATTAGAATTGGCAAACAATTAGGCTACATCTAGTTTTCTATGGCAAATGCCTCTCTTTGGAATGTAGATGTTTCTGTATAACTCCAAATTTTGATACAATATATGAATTGGTCGATAAATACTTCCTTTTGGTACTATGTGTGGAATATTTTTTTAAGCTGAAAGAAAATTATATTCAAAAGAATCTCATTATTTATCCCTTTAACTTAATTATGAGAAGTATTTATCTCATATTAGCTGTCTGTGATAAACTGTAACAGTGCTTTGTCTGACCCAATATTAGTGCATTTAATCTGAGGGATCAAATTCTAGCGCTGAACGAATTTAAAGAAAAGTGCTGATTATTATTCACTTTTCGCTAAATATGTGTAATACTGTTTGAAATAAAACTAAAATCTACATACTATATACCTTTAAAGATTTTATGTTGTAAGGGAATTATAAAGATACAGTCAAGATGACACAGTTTTAATTATATAATGTCTTATCAATTCAGTAGACTCTCACAAGAAGACGAACAGAGGGTAAGTAGTGCCACCTTGTCTACATTAATGTATAACGTTTTGAATACATGTATTTATTCTTTTTCAGTGAGCTATTTAACTAGATTAATACATCAGTATTTAAAACTAAATATGGTTAGCCATATTTTATTCACGTTGTGACAGCTTGATCAATATGTTCCTGTGGATTTTAAGAGATTTATTGTGCAAAACATATATCCAGCAATATACCTTTATCACCTGCGCACAGACTCACATGTAATATATATCTCATTTTAGTCGATATGCAAGGAAATGCTCTACGTACGAACAATTTCAAAAACGAGGAATATTGTCGAAAAACAAGTTAATTTTTTTTTAATTTTAAATACTGTTCGTTATGTCCATATGTTTCATTTTATGTTCGAAACAATAACCTTGTCAGCATTTATAATTTATCGTTTAGTCAAATCTTGAATAACGTTTATTTAATGTTTGCTACGTCATTATAAATACACTGAATTGTCGGCAGAATTGTCTGTTATTTCTCGATCACAAGGAACACAAGGTGGGTGTGACAGGTCGGCAGGGGATGCTCTCTCTTCCATGGCACCTAATCCAACCTCTGATGTTTTGGAGACCTGTATTTGCTCTGCTCCATTTTTTATATTAAATGGGTTTTTGAGTTTTATCAATGTTTATTATTTCAATATGCTTCTGACAAAAAATCTCCATGGTACCTAATTCCACCTCTGAATTTATAGATATCCGTGTTTCCTCGCTCCTATTTTGTATTGTTTTATGGACTTTTTAGATTGAGTTCTGTTCCACTGCTGGTAAAGTGCGAATCGAGAAAATCTTGACTTCGAACACTCGTTACGATTGGCACCTGTAAATTGTCTAGTTAGAAATATACTTTGTTGAAAAAACACAATAAAAATCACCTTCCATAAAGCAAAATTACTAAAATGTTAAGCGATTGTATTGCTTTCATACCCGAAAAGTGCTCAATATCGAAACATTACTAGTAAATGGCTGTTAACATCGTGTTTTTCACGTAATCGCATTCGAAAGGTACATAAAGTACTACAGGACTAATTGGACAGTTACATGAATAAATTCAAATTTAATCTAACGGTTTTCTTTGCCATAGACATAAACAATGAGTTTTAAATGAATTATTTCCATGGACTTTGCCAATAAATAGCATATTCATTTTGAGGGTGTTACAATTGGGTTCCATTACATTTTTACGCAGGCGACTTTTGATTTGTGTAAATGCGACAACTGGTTTACGTGTATGCGACTGTTAGTTTATGTTTCTTAACGTGAATAATGTGAAATTATTCAAACTTGCATGAAAAAAAGAAAAGTTTTTATAGTTTATAGTAAATTTTACCATTTTCTTGAAGCAATACGTAGTGTTCCATCAATTCTTTTAACGGATATTGTGTTTTTGGTTGAATCATTTTATTACTATTAAATAAAGTGATATGGTATAAATGAGCAAGACGGTGACACCAAATAATATAAAGCTTTACATAGTATATATAATATATACATATACGAAGGTTGTGATCAAGCGAACAATTGTTTAAGCAATATTTTAATGCATAATGGAAATAATTTTCTTGCAGTAGACTATATGTTTATTCAAAACACGATGTGAGTATCTTTGGAGTTGAGTTGCACGTCGTATAGTCTAAATTTATCCAGTTACATCTCAGGTCCGTAGTATTTCTGAAAATAGTCTTTTGCTTTTGCTTTGATTGATGTTCATGTTTTATGTAGACATGCTCAACTGCACAAAATCTAAAATTAAAACATAGTTCTAAGACCCTAGCAACTACTCTCGTAGCTGACTTGTTCAATTGAATAGGTTTTTCTGTTGTCATCATAAAAATGCGAAATTCGGTGGTCTCAATTTCATATCAAGGAGAAATATTAACAACAATTGTGGAAATAGTAAGTGGAAATTGTATAGACATTTTCTTGTATTTGGAACATCCAATCAGAAATAATTTGAGAATATGACAGTTTGAAACAAAAAAACGGTGAACATTTTGTGCACAATAAACATTTACACTTTTATTCTAGTTGGTGGAACTGCAGCTCTCCCGTCTGTTAATATATATTTTTGGAGAGCTACAGTTCTGCAGCTAACACTACGGTTGGACTCTGGCAAAATCGGCCGTTGGGAAAATTGAATATTTGAGGAAGGGTCTTCAACACACCAGAACTGTATCTAGCGTTATGGTTTTATTGATATTTATGGTCAATGATTAAAACATAAAACCATAACATGTTGGGTTATTAATCAGCTGCGACCTCATTCTTCTTCCAATAATATTTAAAAAAAAGTCACGAGTCAGCCTGTTTAATAAAAATACAAGTCTATTTATGCCATTCAAATATGAGGATATTTTGTTGATATATGAAAATAATTCATACAAGTTAATTATCGGACATACTTAATTCCTGTCAATGCCATATTTTCAAGTCAAAGGTTAAAAAACTATCCAGAAGGTGAAAAAAAGTTAAAACACTTTCATGTTTAAAAGTATATTTCCTTCAAATACATGTAGATATCTCTCATTTAAAAGAGGTCAATATTTTATAATTATTTTTTTTTTTGGGGGGGGGGGGGGGGGGGGGTGTTCAAAGGTCCTTTTTACGTTTCATCTACATTTAAAGTTTTAACTCTTAAGTTCTAGATAGTCAATTGAAGATGACTAACATAATTAAAATTGAATTATGGGATAGAGCTTTGATGAACATATAGCATATTTTAGTGAAAAGTTTATTTTTAAAGAATATCTAATACCGGTATATACTAACAGAGTGAATTCTACATTTTTTATCCTTTAATTTTAACCACAGAATCGAACAATTTATGTTGGGGGAAGGAGGGGGGGGAGGGTAGCTGCAGATCTGTAACGTTTGGTTTTATATATTTGTCTTTGACCATACATGTAACGCTACAGATCCCGTAATGCACAAAAAAGTGCAATTTACTGCGCAATATTTTTCGCGCACTTTTGGGGAGAATTTTTCCACTTTCTAGCATCGGTCAATCAACTACCTTTCACTTCCTAATTCTAGACACATTCTTTAGCCAATAGGTATATTTTATCCACCCGCCAACCATTTACAGCTGTCTCTATAGGCAATAAACTCGCTTGAAGTGAATATTAAGCT